CCAGCGCCGCCGCCGCCGCCGCCGCTGAGTCAGCGCGAGGCACGCCCCCCGCGTCGCGCCGCGCGGGCCAGCGCCAGCAGCAGCACCAGCAGCCCCAGCAGCAGCAGCAGCTTCATGGGAAGAGTGCAAGACCGGCCCGCCGCGCGGGCTGGGCCCTCCCGCCACCGCCCCCCTCCCCGGGGGAGGGGAGGGGAAAACTACAACTCCCAGCGTGCAGCGCGCGCGAGCGCAAGCGCGCAAGCGCAAGCGACGCTCCTCCTCCCAGGCGGCGGGCCGCGCACACGTGCTCCCTGGAGCTCGCAGGGAGGGGGCGGCGTGGGGTGGGGCTTGGGGAGGGGGGCGTGGTCGGCGGGGTTCGTGGTGCATGCCGGGAGAGCGCATCCGGTCCTCCTCCTCCTCCTCCTCCTCCTGCTCTCCGCCGGTTCCTGATGCGCGCTAGGCTTTTAAAGAACCGGGCAAGCGGCTTGAAGCAGCATCCACGTCTTGCAGAGAGGACTGGTCAAGGCGGTGGATGGCTTAGAGTGCTGGGCGCCAGCGATTGGAAAGCGTGGGTGGGAAGGTTTAGACCACGTGTTGGTGTCACGTGCTTGAATGCCTTTCCGGGGAGGGGGGGTGTTCCACGTGTCTAGCAAGAGACCTCAAGCTTGAGGATCTGTTGAATGCTGGCTGCCTTTTAAAATTCGCTGCGCTTTTACTCACTTGTTTTTTGCTTTTCGATGCAGGATCACACTCCGAAGCCCAGGCTGGTCACTCGTTTTTTTTTTCTTGTAACTTAACCCAGGCTGGCCTAAACTCTAGCAGTCCCAAGTCCCCAGGGTTACAGGCATGGGCCCCCATGCCCAGTTTAGATGTTACTAATTTTGCTCACGAAGAGAAAAGCATTCTGAGCGATGGTGGCGCACGCCTTTAATCCCAGCACCCGGGAGGCAGAGGCAGGCGGATCTCTGAGTTAGAAGCCAGCCTGGGCTACAGAGTGAGTTCCAGGACAGCCAGGACTACACAGAGGAACCTTGTCTCAAAAACCAAAACAACAAAAAACAAAGTGTTCATAAGAAGTCTAGCCAGGCAGGCGGATCTCTCGAGTTTGAGGCCAGCCTGGTCTACAGACTGAGTTCCAGGACAGCCAGGGCTGTTACACAGAGAGACCCTGTCTCAACAACAACAAAAAAGTCTAGTGCTTATGTTGTTTGCTGGGCTCCAACTGTTGTTTTATTTATTTGATTCCAAGTTGTTTTACTTTGTGGGAGCAGATAGGGTGCTGAAGACAGACCACAGTAAGGTTAACACAAGAGGCTAGCTTGGGGAACCAGTGACTTTTACTTTAGCTACTTACAGGAACAGAAAGGATTTAAAGACACAGAAACCTTTCAGTTGTTCATGTCCCTGAGCTCGCAGCATGGAATGTTTCAACCCCCCTTTAATACTTTGTGTTTTAAGGCGCACCCCTCCCTAATGAAAGGTATTAATCCCAGAGGAAACAACACAGTGAATTCAACATTTAGATTTTATTTTGTTTTTTAAAGACAGGGTCTCACTATGTAGATCTGGCTGTCCTGGAACTCAACTCTGTAGCCCAGGCTGGCCTGGAACTCAAGAGATCGCCTGCCTCTGCCTCCCAAGCACAGAGATTAAAGGTGTGTGCCGCCACACCTAGCTCAATATTTAGATTAAATACCTGATTGTTCAGGACATACGGAATACAGGCTGGATGCAGTCAGAGACTCCCACAAAGAACGAACAGGCCTAGCCTGTTCTGCAAGCCTGTGATCCAAGCTGCTTGGGAAGCTGGGGCAGGAGGATCTCGAATTTAAGGCCAGCCAGGGCAAAATGGCTAGCTATACCTATCTTAAAAGGTAAATAAAACCGGGTGGTGGTGGCACACGCCTTTAATCCCAGCACTCGGGAGGCAGAGCCAGGTGGATCTCTGAGTTCGAGGCCTGCCTGGGCTACAGAGTGAGATCCAGGACAGGCACCAAAACTACACAGAGAAATCCTGTCTGGAAAAACAAAAACAAAACAAAACAAAAAGGTAAATAAAGAGGTCTAGAGATAGAGCTCAGTGGTAGTGTGCCTGCCTCTGCCCCACCACCTTTAACTTGAATCCCTAGCACAGCAGTTGTGAGTCTCGACCAATGGGGGGAGAGGGTTTAATGACTCTTTCACAGGGGTCACCTAAGACCTTTGGAAGACACATACTGCATTATGACTCATAACAGTAGCAAAATGTCAGTTATGAAGTAGCAATGAAAATAACCGCATGGTTGGCGTCAGCACAGCATGAGGAGCTGTATGAAAGGGTCGCAGCGTTAGCAAGGTTGACCACCACTGCCCTAGTACCACAAAACAGAGCTAACAAAACTTGGGACTGGAGTGAGGAGGGGAAATGGAAGAAGCAGGGTAAAATTGGTGTAACCATTTAACAGCTACATTTATTTATCAACGTCACTGAAATTCTTTCCCAGGGGGAGTCTTAAGCAAAACCTACTGCCTCTTCTTAAGGGGGTGGTGGTGGGTGGCTCACACCTTTAATCCCAGCATTTGGGAGTTAGAGCGTGTTTTATACACTGGACACACTCCTAAGTGTTTATACGTTCATTAATCCCCAACCACTGTATGGAGGTAGGTACTGTTATTTTATTTTTAAATTGTTTTATTTTTATTTGTGTGTATGTATTGTATGTAGGAGCCTGAGGAGGCCAGAAGAGGGTGAGGGATCCCTTTGAGCTGGAGGTGCAAGCAGTTGGGAGCAACCTGACAGGGTGTTGGGACCAAACTTGGGTCCCCTGGAAGAGCAGTGAGTACTCAATCAAGTACACCTCTCCAGCTCTATTCCTGATTTTGTAGATGAAGAAGTTCATAATAGAGGTTGAATAACAGATAAGTGCTTCAAATTACAGCCCACTCTTAGGAGTTCATCAGCCATGGCTCTCATGCGGGTCCATTTTGTCAGGAGGTATTAAAGAACTGTACTATTGTAAACATGCTCAGAGGTCTTGTTCTTACAACAGTGAAACTTTTTTTTTTTAAACTGTTCCACACCTTCCCACCCATTTTGTTTATAGAGGCCGGGTTATAGCTGGGTACCGCAGGCTAGCCCCTCCTGTCTCGGCTGGGATCACCATGCTCTGCCCCTGCCCCCCTCTTCTTCCAGTTGCAGGAGTACTTGAAAGGATACAGTCACCCCTTCACTGTCTTTTCTCACGTGCTCCTCTCTAGAAGAGCTAGAATCGCCGTCGCTGTGACATTCACAGATGAAGAAACCCGATCTACAGTCCTCGCTCAGAAAAAGTGAAGAGGAACGTGACAGTCTGGCCTCTTGATTCAGAATTTCTCGACTCTAGCCAACCCTGTTTGTCCCTCAGCTTTGTTTCTGTCGTGACTTCTCCCCAGTCACTCTACAGAAGCGCATCAGTGTCACCAACTGTGTTAGTCAGGGTGAATATACATTATTAACGTAGAAAGCGTAGGTATACATACACGTATATATACAGGTACACATGAAGGGGACTTCATTAGAATGGCTTACAGGCTGTGGTCCAGCTCGTCCATCCATGGCGGTCTCCAACAGAAAGGCCCAGAATTCAGTAGCTGGATGTCTCAGCAGTCCCGATCTGGTGCTGGAGTACCTGGGAATTCCCAGAGAGCTGCTGGTCTTCCGTGGGTTCTACGACCGTAGAAGGAATGTCTCAGCCACAGGATACATTAGCTCACTAGCAAGACTGAAGGCAAGCAGGCAGAAAAGCGAACACCTCCTTCTTCCAAGTCCTTTTATGAGGGCTGCCACCCAAAGGTGTGGTCCAGATTTTGGGTGGGTCTTCGAAACCTCAGAGGATCCAATCAGGAAAATCCACCACCACCCCTCCCCACCCCCCCAGGCTGCTTGGGTTTTAGCTGATTCCACATTAGCCCAGTTGACAACCAAGGTGAGTATCACACCAACTCAATGGCCAGTTTTCTTAATTTATACGTTTCTTTCAACTGCTCTATCAACTATTTCTTTTACCCTTGAAAGTCTCTTTACTCATTATTTCTGGCACCGTGATTTTAGGTTCCTTTGCCTTCTGCACTCTGTCTTCTTCAGACACACTCCTAATTCATTTGCTCTTCTTGGTGTATGTGTGCCCCTTCAGTAGCTACCCATTTCCACACTTCCACACTTGATGCTTGGCTGGTTCCTACAGTTAGTTCTATACATTTTGGTTTTATGTTTTGTGAGACGACATCTCACTTGGTAGTATAGGCTGCCCTAGAACTCTCTGTGTAGCCTTTGTGGGCAGGCCCTGCGTCCATGGGATTTGATGGGGCTTTGGGAAGGTCATTAGAGCGTAAGGGTGAAGCTCCCTCGTGATACACAAAAGCTGCGTGTCCTCCCACCACTGGAGCTTAGGAGAAAACTGCTCTGAGCTGGATTTTAGGCGGTGGTGGTGCACACCTTTTCTCTCAGCACTCCAGAGGCAGAGGCAGGGGGATCTCTGTGAGTTCAAAGCCAGCCTAGCCTACAGAATGAGTTCCAGGACAGTCAGGGCTACACAGAGAAACCCTGTCTTGAAAAACCGAAAAAGACAAAGGCTTCTGCATGCCGTTCCCCCGTGACACTGGATCTGATAATACCTCCATCTTGGATTTGCAGACTCTTCGGGGTATGTTTGTTATTTAACCCTCTCAGCCCACAGCCGTGTGTGATGGCAGCCCACAAGGACTAAGGCAATGTCTCAAACCTACCCTGTCTTCTTCATACAATGTATTTTCATGTAGTGCTGGTTGGTAATTCTCTCTGTGAACGTCTCAGCACATCACAGTGCCCTTACAGTCATTCTTTCTGTTGGGACTAAAACTTTTTTTTCTTCTTCTTTGAGACAGGGCTTCATTCACAGACAGGGAAACTGAGGTGGGCTGGAATTTACAGGGTTATGCTCATAAACTTCTGTGCTTTCAAGTTAGTCAATCAAGTAACCCTGGAGGGAGGACCACCACTCTATTTTGATGGTAGTCCATGACCGTGCCTTTTGAGGTGAGCCCCACACAGGTGACGCCCCATTCTTCTGGTAGAAATGTTTATCAAATGCTGGATGGCTCAGAATCTGTACCAAACGTGTCTTGAGTTTGGATGGGCTTAGACGAGAAGAAGCAAGTGCTTATCGCGGTATTTGGGTTAGCTACCCGTGGAAAGATTAGAAGAACATAGGGGAACGTGAACACTTCCGTGTCCGTGGTGCTCTCTGGTCCTCACTTCCGCTCCTTGGCAGGCAGAGTAGGTGTCAGCAGGTGTGTTTCTCATGTGATGGAACTCAGGCTCCGCAAGGTCAAGTCATTTTTTCTCCCCTAAAAATCTCACAGATCACGAGTGAGCAACGGGGTTAGTAATTAGATCAGTAATCTAATCCAATCCTCCTGGCTCCAGATCAGTAAGCTTTCCTCGGTGGTGAACCCCATCCCTGCAGGCTGAATTTTGCTGTTTCCCTGGCAACCAGGTAGAACATTGAGTACCTGGAAACCATGACATTGTCTTCTCTGTGAGTCGCCAGGCTTAAATGAGGTCATCACCAGTCCCATGTTTTTTTGTGTGTGTGCTTCCTTTTAAGGTCTATGAGGTTGGTGGCTTGGTCGCCCAAACCTGATTGGTTCCTGATGGGCTTTTTGGCACATACAGCAAGTGCACTGCCATTTCTGGTCATGGTCCAGCCATCCTGTTTGTCTTGGTCCTGGGAAGTGGGCATAAAACAAGAAACCCTGAGACAGAACAGTGGTCTGAAGGGAGGCTTTCCCCCTTGGTCTTCATTCTCCACCTCTTTTGTTATAGCGATTTGCCACCGAGCTGCTGTTGTGGGGGTAACTATCAGGCACAGGTAGTTAGAAGGTGTGCCTTTGTATTGGCTTCCAGTGGCAGGCAGCCATTATCAATGGGTCTGTAACCCATGGCTATCCATAGGAGTCGGGTCAACTCTAAGGACACAGGTGTGCTCAAACCATTTGAGATTTTGCCAGCAGGTGGCACTTATTCCCTGCTCTTACCAAATATGGTCTGTTTATTTATTACTGCTTTGTTTAGCTAGGCTTAAGCACTTCTTCCCTACTGTAGTGGGCTAGCCCACAATATCTGGTTATACATTGCAATACGTTTATACTCTTCTCCCACAGTGGATTTGAAATGGTTTACATATTCAGTATATAATAGTAAAATTTGGAAGGAAGGGGACTATCTCCGTGAGGAACATCCGATTTTATTAAGGTCTGTTTGTAGACAGGGATAATATGGTTTCATTGTGTCTTTTCCGAATATTTATTTTTGGGACAGGGTCTTGCTGTGCACTCCTGAACTCAATAGATCAACAAAGACAGACCTCCAGCTTATGGCCCTCAGTTCTGGAATGCTTGGTCTGCAGTGTGGGCCACCCCGCTCCATCCTCGGGTCTTTGGATGAACGGGAAGGAGGGGACAGATGGCTTTTCTAGGATCTGAAATAAAGACGGGAGTGCACGCCTAAGGCACGTTTCTGGTCTGCTTCTCCTCTCGCTAACCTGATGTACCGCGCTCTTCCTGACCGGCTCTTCATCTCTAGGGCTACATAATCCACACCCTTCGTCCCATCAACTTCAGTTTCCAGAGGGCCCTTCAACCGTGCTACTCATTTTCTAGATGGTTCTTGGGAACACAGGCACGGCTTGGACGGGCCTGCGTTACCGGAGCAATCAGTGGGTCCCTTTGAGACAGAGTCCAGCTTCTGAGACAAAGCTGGAAAGTCAGTGTCTCGGTCCTTTCTAGGCAGTGTACTGGTCAAATGTGAAATCTGTCATTACAGGATTCTCACATCGATAAAACTCCATGCTTCAAGTTTCTCTGTAACAGGAAATCAGATTAAAACTGGCCTCTATTATCAATGGAGTTTGTATGTGGCTCAGTAGCTGGACGGCGTGGGGAGTGAGGCGGGGGACTAACTATTCCTTCCCTTGAGAGGTTCTCGGTTGTCAATCAACCCTGCGAGAAAGACCTTGGTCTTGCCCCGCCCATCGCCGTGTAGGGTGCGGACAAAGATTAGGGGCGGGACCGGGCGGGGCAGGGGGCTCGGAAACCAGACGGCGGCGGAGCGTGTTCCCAGAGCCGGAGGTCGGCTCCCTGCGTCCCGGCCCGGTGGTGGCGGAGGCGGCTGGCGCTCGGCTTTGTGGCGCGCGCGGGTTCCACCGGGTGTCGTGGAGGCACAGGCACCGGGGGCACTCTGCCTGTCCGCGGGTGCCGCATGGCATGGCCAGCCCCGCGCGGTCCGGCTTCCCGGCGCGCACGAACAGCCGTCTGGACGCGTTCCTGCGGCGGCACCTGCCGCCCGAGGTCTACGACGCCGTCCGCGCCTACGAGCCGTGCATCGTGGTGTCCGACGCCGAGAAGCACACGTTCAGGTACGTGGTGCTTAGCGACCGGCTCATCTACCTGACGGAGAACCCGCCCAAGTCCATCCGGAGGGTCGTGGCTCTGCGGGACGTCGTGGCCATTGACTTGGTGAGGATCGCGGGCGGGCAGGCTCCTTCCCGGGCTCTCGCATCCCTCCTCCTGTACCAGAGAAACGGGGAACACCTTCCCCGTCCCGCCCACCTCTTATTGTCAGTGAATGCTGCTGCGCGGGAAAGCTGGGCATGGAGGAAGAATTTCAAATAACGATGTGCCCGGCTTTCCCATCCTGTCCACACCCTGCTAACCCCCGTTGGGCAGCAGATCTGACAACTGATCCCTCCCTCTATAGAAACACGCCTTCAAGCCAGCCTCTTGTTCATTAATCATCCAGTCTGTGCAGTGCGTGTGGGAGGAACCGCAGCTCACACCCGCGCAAACAAATGCGGCCAGTTTAGTGCTGACCGGCCCTTGTTTACTTTCTAGCCGCTCAGGGTTAGTTAACGTGTGACTGGTCCAGAATAAGTGAGGGAAGGAATGAATTTTCGTGATGTGCAGAGGATGCTTGCTCTGGGTCAGGCTGCCACTTGATCCAAACGGGACGGGGAAGCTTCCTGGAAGGAGTGTCCTCAGAGCCGAGTCTCCGGAGATACAATCTGGCTGAGCTCGCCCTAGTTTCTAGTGTTGCCAGTGTGTCCCTGTCCTCTGGGAGGAGGCTGACTGTAGGAACCAGCAGCCGATTGGAGGCCCAGCCTACCCCCCCCCCCCCGTTACCCCTCCCGCTGCCTCCTGGTCTCTAGTCTGCTCTGCTTTCCAGGTGTTTCTTCCTTCTCCGCTGGGACAGGCGTCTCGCCTCCTTTTACTCTCCCTTGCTCAGTCTGTGGCCCCCAGGGAGAAGCTGTTTTGCCTAGCGAATCGTAACGGTTTCAACATATTTCTAAGAATAATAAAATTAGATGAAGTGTTTTTTTTTTGTGTGTTTGTTTGTTTGTTTTTTGAAGTTCAGATTTCCCTTGTCAGCTGTGGTCACATTTGTTTCTTTAAAACTTTTATTTAATACTCTTTTATCTTGTGTGCACATGTGTATGTGTGTGAATGTGTGTGTGTGTCATGGCGAGAATATAGAGGTCAGAGGACACCTAGTGGAAGTCAGGTCTCTCATCTTGTGGGTCCTGGGTTTGAACTCAGGTGGTTCAGTCTTGGCATTGAGCGCCCTTAGCTACCTCATCAGCTCTATTTACTACTACTGCTACTTCTTCTTCTTCTT